CATCTTAGAAAAAAAAATTGTAATTTGACTATTTCAATATCATAAACACATTTCTATTGTTATAAAAGTCTTAAGTGCTTGTGATCAGACAAATCTGTTTTTCAATAAGACATCTTAGAAAAAAAATTGTAATTTGACTATTTCAATATCATAAACACATTTCTATTGTTATAAAAGTCTTAAGTGCTTGTGATCAGACAAATCTGTTTTTCAATAAGACATCTTAGAAAAAAAATTGTAATTTGACTATTTCAATATCATAAACACATTTCTATTGTTATAAAAGTCTTAAGTGCTTGTGATCAGACAAATCTGTTTTTCAATAAGACATCTTAGAAAAAAAATTGTAATTTGACTATTTCAATATCATAAACACATTTCTATTGTTATAAAAGTCTTAAGTGCTTGTGATCAGACAAATCTGTTTTTCAATAAGACATCTTAGAAAAAAAAATTGTAATTTGACTATTTCAATATCATAAACACATTTCTATTGTTATAAAAGTCTTAAGTGCTTGTGATCAGACAAATCTGTTTTTCAATAAGACATCTTAGAAAAAAAAAGTAATTTGACTATTTCAATATCATAAACACATTTCTATTGTTATAAAAGTCTTAAGTGCTTGTGATCAGACAAATCTGTTTTTCAATAAGACATCTTAGAAAAAAAAATTGTAATTTGACTATTTCAATATCATAAACACATTTCTATTGTTATAAAAGTCTTAAGTGCTTGTGATCAGACAAATCTGTTTTTCAATAAGACATCTTAGAAAAAAAAATTGTAATTTGACTATTTCAATATCATAAACACATTTCTATTGTTATAAAAGTCTTAAGTGCTTGTGATCAGACAAATCTGTTTTTCAATAAGACATCTTAGAAAAAAAAATTGTAATTTGACTATTTCAATATCATAAACACATTTCTATTGTTATAAAAGTCTTAAGTGCTTGTGATCAGACAAATCTGTTTTTCAATAAGACATCTTAGAAAAAAAATTGTAATTTGACTATTTCAATATCATAAACACATTTCTATTGTTATAAAAGTCTTAAGTGCTTGTGATCAGACAAATCTGTTTTTCAATAAGACATCTTAGAAAAAAAATTGTAATTTGACTATTTCAATATCATAAACACATTTCTATTGTTATAAAAGTCTTAAGTGCTTGTGATCAGACAAATCTGTTTTTCAATAAGACATCTTAGAAAAAAAAATTGTAATTTGACTATTTCAATATCATAAACACATTTCTATTGTTATAAAAGTCTTAAGTGCTTGTGATCAGACAAATCTGTTTTTCAATAAGACATCTTAGAAAAAAAATTGTAATTTGACTATTTCAATATCATAAACACATTTCTATTGTTATAAAAGTCTTAAGTGCTTGTGATCAGACAAATCTGTTTTTCAATAAGACATCTTAGAAAAAAAATTGTAATTTGACTATTTCAATATCATAAACACATTTCTATTGTTATAAAAGTCTTAAGTGCTTGTGATCAGACAAATCTGTTTTTCAATAAGACATCTTAGAAAAAAAAATTGTAATTTGACTATTTCAATATCATAAACACATTTCTATTGTTATAAAAGTCTTAAGTGCTTGTGATCAGACAAATCTGTTTTTCAATAAGACATCTTAGAAAAAAAAATTGTAATTTGACTATTTCAATATCATAAACACATTTCTATTGTTATAAAAGTCTTAAGTGCTTGTGATCAGACAAATCTGTTTTTCAATAAGACATCTTAGAAAAAAAATTGTAATTTGACTATTTCAATATCATAAACACATTTCTATTGTTATAAAAGTCTTAAGTGCTTGTGATCAGACAAATCTGTTTTTCAATAAGACATCTTAGAAAAAAAAATTGTAATTTGACTATTTCAATATCATAAACACATTTCTATTGTTATAAAAGTCTTAAGTGCTTGTGATCAGACAAATCTGTTTTTCAATAAGACATCTTAGAAAAAAAATTGTAATTTGACTATTTCAATATCATAAACACATTTCTATTGTTATAAAAGTCTTAAGTGCTTGTGATCAGACAAATCTGTTTTTCAATAAGACATCTTAGAAAAAAAAATTGTAATTTGACTATTTCAATATCATAAACACATTTCTATTGTTATAAAAGTCTTAAGTGCTTGTGATCAGACAAATCTGTTTTTCAATAAGACATCTTAGAAAAAAAAATTGTAATTTGACTATTTCAATATCATAAACACATTTCTATTGTTATAAAAGTCTTAAGTGCTTGTGATCAGACAAATCTGTTTTTCAATAAGACATCTTAGAAAAAAAATTGTAATTTGACTATTTCAATATCATAAACACATTTCTATTGTTATAAAAGTCTTAAGTGCTTGTGATCAGACAAATCTGTTTTTCAATAAGACATCTTAGAAAAAAAAATTGTAATTTGACTATTTCAATATCATAAACACATTTCTATTGTTATAAAAGTCTTAAGTGCTTGTGATCAGACAAATCTGTTTTTCAATAAGACATCTTAGAAAAAAAAATTGTAATTTGACTATTTCAATATCATAAACACATTTCTATTGTTATAAAAGTCTTAAGTGCTTGTGATCAGACAAATCTGTTTTTCAATAAGACATCTTAGAAAAAAAAATTGTAATTTGACTATTTCAATATCATAAACACATTTCTATTGTTATAAAAGTCTTAAGTGCTTGTGATCAGACAAATCTGTTTTTCAATAAGACATCTTAGAAAAAAAATTGTAATTTGACTATTTCAATATCATAAACACATTTCTATTGTTATAAAAGTCTTAAGTGCTTGTGATCAGACAAATCTGTTTTTCAATAAGACATCTTAGAAAAAAAAATTGTAATTTGACTATTTCAATATCATAAACACATTTCTATTGTTATAAAAGTCTTAAGTGCTTGTGATCAGACAAATCTGTTTTTCAATAAGACATCTTAGAAAAAAAATTGTAATTTGACTATTTCAATATCATAAACATTTCTATTGTTATAAAAGTCTTAAGTGCTTGTGATCAGACAAATCTGTTTTTCAATAAGACATCTTAGAAAAAAAATTGTAATTTGACTATTTCAATATCATAAACACATTTCTATTGTTATAAAAGTCTTAAGTGCTTGTGATCAGACAAATCTGTTTTTCAATAAGACATCTTAGAAAAAAAATTGTAATTTGACTATTTCAATATCATAAACACATTTCTATTGTTATAAAAGTCTTAAGTGCTTGTGATCAGACAAATCTGTTTTTCAATAAGACATCTTAGAAAAAAATTTAATTTGACTATTTCAATATCTAACACATTTCTATTGTTATAAAAGTCTTAAGTGCTTGTGATCAGACAAATCTGTTTTTCAATAAGACATCTGATTCAAAACTTTAAATTATATCTCTACCTTATATCAATATCTCTTTTACATATAATATTAAAGCAAACAATGCCTTTATTAATTTTACTATTTTATTTTCAATTAATTTCATATTCTTTTATCTTTCACCTTTCTCAATATTTCTAAACGCAACTTCACAGTACATTACATTTAACCACCACTTTTTTTTATCATAAATTTATTTTTTTAATCTTTATCTTTTTTATTTCTTTATTATTTTCTTCTTCATCTAATATCTTATTTCATCTTTCACCATCTTTTAATATTACCTATTGTTAACTCTTTATAATAATCTCATTCTGCAATTTTCATAAATACATTTTCATATAAAATCTTCTCAATTCATTTCAAACACATTCAAAAATAAAATTGTGAAATATTAATATACTATAAAAACCAAATATTTTACAATTCATTATTTTTTTGAATACTTCTCAATTTTTCTTATTCAATTTTTTACTAAATAATTCTCATTTTTTTTTATTCTTTTCATTCTACATGCTGTTACTAGTTTACATATCATTTGCCGAAAAAATAATCATATAACAATCTTATCACATGTTAAATTTTTGATACATATGATTATTTTGAAATTTAAGAAATCGATTTCAAACATTCTAATAATGTCATAATGCAATCAGACAAATCCCAATTATTATAAACACTATAACATCGATTTTGACTTTAATTTTGAAATCGATAAAATATCTAGAAGATAAAAACTCATATATTTTGAGTGTAAACCTATTCAATTGTATTTTACTAAAGGATATAGATTCATTCACGAACTTAAATAAGTGTTCACTACATTAAATTCTCATTATTTAAAATCTGATTATTTGGCTTGTTCTTTAAAATCAAGTTTAAAGCCTACCATAGTGTGACAGGTACATTGCTAGAGACTATACTACAAGTTGGGCTATTTTAATTATAAATTAAAATAATAATTTGCATTCGCATTACACATCCTAAGTCCAAATCAAACTTGACCGATATGTAATGATAGCTAATAATATATACTTCAATGCTATATAAATGAATACCCTTAGAAACAAATATAAAGAAAGATATGAATTTTTTAAATTTTCACTTCACCTAAAATCATTCCGATCCGTAAAGTATTGAAATCTATCCCGATTAATCGGGATAAAATTGAATGAGTTGATCCCAATTTCCTGATCAATCCCGATGCCAAAAGATAAGTCAAAAGTTACTTGTAAGCTTTTTTTTCAGCTTGAAATATCAAACATATTTTTAATTTGGCGTTACGAAATCATAGCGTTAAATTTTATTCCAAAATATATGAAAAAAGTTTGTAAATTAAATTGAAAAACGAAAATATGTCAAGGATTTTTTATCAATTGATTTTGAGGATTGAAATTTTCAATTCTAATATATGTTTGTGGGAGCAATATTTAGAGAATTTTTCTCTAAATAAGTTTTAATATAGCAAAATAGCATCAAATTACTTTCAAAATAAATACTGGCAATGCTTTGAAACTAAAGCTGAAAAGAAGCGGCTGTACATTTCAATATTATCATAAAAATATATTCTTATCAATACAAACAAAATTTACTAATTAAATTTACAATTCTTCTCCTGCAGAGATAGAAGTAATGGTTCGTGTCATAGCATTAAAGAATGGATGCTGAAGAGCATCAATAGCAGTAATTCTTTCTCGATGATCAATTGTTAATAATTTTTGAACAAGGTCGATGGCATCTTCATCTAGATTGTGCTTATTAATCAAACGTCTTATTCCAGTTCCCTGCAATTTATTTAATTCTCTCCGTGTATCGGGCATCAATTCAATTTGATATTTATCAGCCATTTCTACAATTTTTGGTCCACCAAGAATAGAAGCAATTGAAAATATCATTCGTTCTGGGTTGTCAGATGAAAATACATGAATTTTCCTAGATAGCATTTCGAGAAGAGTTGCTCCAACAGCCCACATATCAACCGCATAATTATAGAATCCATAACCGAGTATAAGTTCTGGAGCTTTGTAGAATTTAGTACCAACGTGTGTAGAATATTTGTGAAGAGGATGATAAAATTCAGCAAGTCCCCAATCCGCCAAAACAACTTGCTCGTCTGGATCTTTGCATAATATGTTTGCTGGCTTAACGTCCCTATGCATTATGCCTTTACTATGAGTGGCAACTAATACTTGAATTATTTTATAAATGTATTTTCTAATGCCAGTTAATGGAGATTTAATCACTAAAGTTCTCCAATTTATATTTGGAATATATTCTGTGACAAAAGAAGTAATTCCATTCTTGGGATCAATAAGAATATCCATTAACTGAAGAGCATTAGGCGTGTATTGCATTATCGTCAAGATTTTAAGTTCACGGCGTACCTTGTCAAGATTTACTGGCTTTAAAACCTTTATTGCACATTTTTTTGTGTCGTCTTGAAGCCCGATAAAGACATCAGAATAAGATCCCGATCCAATCCAGTTCACCAATTTATAGCGATTGATATTTCCAAAAACAGGATTCCAATTTTTTATTTGCCAGTATGAAGGACCAGCTCGAAGACATACATTTGCAAATATTGGTGCTATTTTAGGATGAGCTTCATTATAAGTATGATTAGGGAGAATTTCTGGTACTTGTCCCTCCCTGCTCATTGATAAAATTGAATAAAAAAATTGTGATGATTCAAATAAACACAATATTTAATTAAAATTATGCTGAAATAAACATATGTAAGGATGTCAATTCGGAAAATTGTTTTCATTTTAGGAGAATATAATTTTCCTTTTCGAAAATTTAAAAAGTGAGACGCGCAGGATTCGAACTTTTTTAAAAGTTGATTTAAATATATTCTAGTGTGGATTCTAAGGATAATATCATATTTAAAATAAGAATATACTAGTTTGGGTGGTATAATTTTTTCGATAAATTTGAGAATATGTACGTTTAGGGCATCAAAAGTGTCAATTCGCTCAGCGAAAGCTGAGCTAGCTTCGTTCTCGAAAGAATAGGGAAGGAGTGAAAGAGAGTGATACAGATGTTGACACATTCATATCATTTCAACAAATTTTGATCAAATTGAAATGCAATGAAATTCAATTCACTTCATATCCTTCAGTCAGTACATTGACATCCTTCTACATCACAATGATAACTCGTGCATCAATAGTTCTACAACTAACTCAGAAAAAACAAGATTTTTCCTTCCAGCTTACAGCTTTTAAAAAGTTTCGATGATAAAAATCACTCTACTCTTGTTTATCGATATGTTGTGATAGTAGGTAAACGTATTCTTATCGATATTAATAAAAATATTTTTACGAAAATCTGAACCAATTACAGAGTTATTCATAAAGTTTATGATAACTGTAATTACTTCATCTTTGTTTTATATTTGAATAAACAATTTAATTTAATTTGCATAATTTTTTTTAGTTGAAAGACAGGAAACTTAGTTGAGTTTGTATTATTTTTATCGTTCAATTCATTGTATATGTGAGTGATCCAGATATTTAAGATATTTAGAAAAAATTTATTAATTTGATTAACAAATTTTAATCAAAATAGCAAAAATCTATTTGATAGCTGTAAGCAAATAATAATTTCTATTTCAACCAAAATCACTTATTTTCATCTAAACGTATAAAATTGTCAATTTTATGAGAATAAATTTAAAATCTCATGAAATATAAAGGAGAGTAATATTTTTCAATTTTCTTTTTTTCTTTCTCTCAAATATTTTCTATTGGGAATTTTCTTGTTATCAAAAAATAATTTTAATATTTGTTTATTTCATTACATACAATAAAATTTTAAAAACTCTATTTCTTCACAAGAAAATTTTTTTCCTTCATATGAAGAAACATTTTGTTCTCCATTTGATGCTGAGTCTAAATCTCGATTTTTGAATTTTCTTCTTTCCAAATTTCTTTTTTCCAAATTAGAAGTTTAATTCAAATTTTCAATAGTTTATATATTTTCTCAAACCGTCTTAGATTTTCTCACTTTTTAGGGATTTTCTCTCAAAATATACAAAAATAGTAATACCAATACATGTGTCTAATATACTTTAAAACCATCGTGATAAAATTCAAAAACGAAGAGTTCTTCTCTCCAAATTTTTTTCAAAATCAAAAAAAATGAGATAAAAAAATACGTTTGGAAAATTCATTTTTAGCATTTTAGGAATTTTCTCACTTTTCTTCCAAATTGACATCCTTAACATATGAAAATCATAATTTGTTATGACTAGTAATTGAAAGGTTTGGCGATTTCAATGAATTTCTTTGCAATATTGAATACGAGAAAACTTTTTGTCATCAACCACTCTTAACGTATGAAGATGTTTTGTTAATTAAGACATGCGCAAATAAATTGGGCAAATGAATAAAAAGAACAAACGGGAACAAAATTTACGAGAAAATCGGGTCTTAAGCTCTTAATTTTTTGGCGGCGTGTGCTGCATACAACTGTTAAATGATCTTAATCAAAGCCGAACCATGGTAAAACGGATATCATAGCATTTTAACATGAGATACTTTCATTTCAATATTCAAAATTTCCCAAGGAATTAAAGTTGTTTTTCAGAGATGGGTATAATGACAACATCAAAAAGCAAGAGCTTTACGATATGCTTGTAATTTAATTGCTAACTTGATCAATGATAAATTGGTAAAAAAGATAATTTCTTTTTGATATTGTCTAAATTTTAAGTAATTTTGTTGAACTCATATTTAATTATCTACAATGTAGTCAAAAATAACATAGTCCATTCGCTATACTTTATGTCACTTTTCTTGATACAGTAAATATGGGTGTTCCAGGATTTTACCGATGGATGGTTCAACGCTATCCAATGGTTCGCAGAAAAATGGCAGACCCATCGCGTCCAATTATCAATAGACTATATATTGATATGAATGGCATTTTCTATAAAGCTTTAGCTGCCACAGGAACTGGAAATGAAGATTTGACTCCTGCATTAAAAGCAGAAATATTTAGATATACTGACATGCTTGTACAAATATGTCGTCCAACTGACTTGATTTTCATTGCTGTAGATGGACCAGCACCAAATGCAAAAGCATCTCAACAGAGAAGCCGTAGATACTTAGCAGCACGTGACCATTCAATGAATAGCTTTGATCGTACCCAAATTTCACCCGGCACAGTCTTTATGGATAAATTGAATGATGCATTAATGGAATTCATTAAAGATAAAAGAGAAAAGGATCGCACCTGGTCTCGTCCACGCGTAATTTACAGTTCCTCATTTGTGGCTGGCGAAGGTGAACACAAAATACTTGATTTCATTCGTGAAGGCAGAGCAATTTCTGACTGGGATCCAGACTTAGTTCATTGCCTTTACTCCACAGATGCAGATCTTATTTTCCTTGGCCTTCAGACACACGAAAAGAACATCCTTCTCCTTCGTGAAGCCGATGCGGCCAACTTCCAAAAATCACTCTCTCCATTTGAAGCTAAGACTGCTATAACTAATTATTCATTTGATGCATTTGAATTAATACATTTCCCTCTCTTACGTGAATATCTTTTATTAGATTTCGGATGCGGCATTGACGAAATCGAAAAAGTAATTGATGATTTCATTGCAATTTCATTCCTCATTGGAAACGACTTTATTCCATCCTTTACAGATATTGACATCCGTTCTGGTGATTACAACGATGTCATCGACCAATATAGAAAGTTCCGCGATGAAACAAAGTCACATATTGTTGTTGATGGCAATTTCGACTTTCAGAATCTCAAAATCTTCTTATCAATGGTTGTTGACAAATGCCGTCAAAATTATGGTATCAAGAATGAGATTCCAGAAGAAGAACTATCTGATAAGTTCTCAGAAGCTAACAAGAGCTATCTCGAGAGTAAGTATCCAGAAGAATCGCAAAAGGACTACTTAGGTCTTTGCCGCGAGATGTCCAAGTCAATTCTCGATGCATTTTATTGGGTTCTCCGTTATTATAACTCTGGATGCATTTCTTGGACCTGGTCTTATCCATATTTGTATGCTCCACCTCTTGAAGTTGTTATTCCATTCATTGACGAATACAAACCGGAGTTCGAAACAGGCAAGCCAAATCTTCCATTCTTGCAACAACTTTCCATCTTCCCACCACAATCAGCTCATCTTATGCCAGAACCTCTTGCAAACCTCATGAAAGCTCCATCACCAATCGCAAAATTCTATCCAGAAAAATTCGAGACAGATCTCAACGGAAAGAAGGCAGAATACCATGCCGTTGTCGTCCTTCCTATTCTCGACTATGCGGCTATCCAAGAAGCCTATGAATCTGTAATTTCACAGGTTGATGCCGAAGATTTGAAGAGAAACAGACTTGATGATCCAGTCGAATTCATTGGACTTGAACCTAAGTCATTCAAAGTTTCGACCGGCCAAACATTTGAATCAGTTGATATGACAGAAATTGCACCTGATTGTACTCCTACATTCAACACTCTTCCATACACAATCGAAATTCGTAATGTTCCAGTCAAAATCTTCGAATACCCATCTCATAATGCTTCACTCGTTGTTAAGATCAATCCAGGAAAAGAGATGAAATGCAAAGACTGCTTGCCACTCTTGAACAAGCAAATATTGATGGGATATCCTTATTTACGCCCAGCTTTGGTTGTTGGAGCAATTGATAAAGAGGAATACTTCGATGAGAAAGGTGTGATCAAGCCAAGACCAGAGTCTATCGACTTCCCTGCAGAAAACAGACAAGATTTCCTTCTTAAATCACGAGCCCTCGAGATCCAAATTACATGTTTCCTTGTTGTTAAGCCATTGGTTTACTGCACAAATGATGGCTCCATCCTTGATTTCGACACAAAGACAGAGCTCTTCCCAACAACTACAATGCTCCCAATCACAGAAGAATCTATTGGTTTGAGGTACGAAGAGCCAAAAGCAGAACCTTTCCAGATTGGTGAAGAAGTTGTCTTAGTTAAAGGTGAAGGACAGGGCTGCAAGGCAACAATCACCGCCCTTTACGAGGAATCAGCCGATCTTGCTGTCGTAGAAAGAAGCCAACCAAGTATCAGAAAGATCGTTGACGACGATAACAGAGAATGGACTCCTATCGGAAACTTACTTAGAGCAAATAATATTTCATTCAAGGCTTTGCAACATTGCCTTTCAGAAGTTAACTGCGAAGGAACAAATATTGCATTGTCTTTATTCTCGGCCAATAGACGTCAGGTTGTCGATGGATACGCAAAAATTGTTTTTGATGAGTCTAAGGGAAGAAGTGACATTTGGATAACACATGACGCTGCAAGATTGATCCCAACGTATTTCCAGAAGGCAGGAAAACTGAAAGAATTAATGATGAAAGCTGTAGCTGAAAAGAAAGATTTCAGATTGAATCTTAATTATCAAGATTTATTCCCTGGAGATGATACTGAATTCAAAAAGGAGCAATTCATTCAATGGCTCACTCAAAATTCTCCAGCTGCCAAAGCACCACTAGTTCCTGCAACAAATGTCAGCTTGTCTTCATCGGGTGTTGCTAAAATTGAAGAAGCTTTAACAAAGTTCAAGGTTTGGACTAATGTCACTAAACTCGAGCATGTACTTTTCACATCAATGCTACGTAAGAGTGGCCAGAGACCAATTATTAATGGAAAGAATTTGCAGATTGGATCGCGCATTATTTCTGTCGCACCAAGCGGCAGCGTCCCATTTGGAACTTATGCATCAGTCTGTGCAATTGACAATCAAAATGGAACCATTTCAATTGTTTGTGATGAGATTTTAGCATGCGGAACAAAGCTTGATGGAAAACTCAAGACTAACCGCGGAATGAGACTTATGGAAAGAGAAGTTATATGCCTTTAAATATATATTTTTTGAAACTTTTTTTATATTTAATTTGTTTAAATTGTTAAGGGTGCTAATATATAGAAAAAAACTATATATGTATATTAACTTTTTTTTTAGATATTAGAAAAATATTCGAAGCAAAATACTGTGCGTAAATAATAATAATAAAAGCATTTAATTTATTTTTATTTTTTGCTTTTCTATAATAGAAATCTATTTCCAAAAAAATTGTTAAAATTTTTTTAAAACACGCATTAAAATTCTTTTTTTTTGTTAACAATTAAAATTGTCATAAATTAGTTGAAAAAATTAATTAATTTTTTAATTAGTTTAAAATATCTAATAAAAAAATAATAATAATTTTTTATTGTAAAACGATAATTGAAATTTCGCTCTATAATTTTCGTTCACACTTTTCAATTTTTTATAAAAATTCGAAAAATTTCATTTATATATAAAAAGATTGATTCCAAAAAAGTGAAAAACATAATTTTTTCAATTAATCTCCGTCACTGCGTGTTTAAAAAAGTTTCTGACAATTTTTTAGAAATTTATACTAGAAATTAATTAACATAAATTCAATTTACTTGTTAATTGGTAAATTTTCTGAATTTATTTTACACGTGTTTCGAAATGTATTTTGATATTTGTTAATAAACTAACTCTTATTTCTCTTAGATGTTTTTATATTAATTATTTTTTGATTATTCCAGTTGTAAAGCGTACGAAATTAAATTTGAAAACTTTTATTTAGATATCTAAATATTACAAATTTTTCAAACAGACCCTTACCTTTATTTTTTTAATGAATTTAATATTTTTTGACTAATAAAATTCATATTTGTTAGAAATAAAATTATGAATTTCATATTATAATAATAATTATAATAATAATTCAAATTATAATAATAATTATAATTTTTAATACTCGTGCTTGTCAAAAAAGGTATAATTACAAGTTTACAAACGTAAATTCAGGCACATATGATTATTTTTGATTCAAATATTTTTCACTAGCTGCACGCCTGCAAAAATGTCTCAAAATTGCGAATCTTCTAATTAACAAAGCACTTTCTGAATTCTCGGACGCTCTTTTGTTTCTGAGATAAATTTCCCAATAAATATTCAACTTATTTATCGCTCATCGATTGAGAAATATTTCTCATGAAAATGACACTTGAAAGTGTACGTTTATTAATGGAGCAAACTGAGCCAAAGTGCGCGAGCTGTTGCAATTGTGAAGGAAACTGTTTATCTACTACGTGTCCATGCTTTTTGCATTCTAAATACTGCTGTGATGGCTGCAAATGTCAAAAATGTCGTAATAAAAAAGAATATGAACAAGAAAGAGTCGCTTCCTTTGAACAGCATTTATTAGAAAATCCTTTAGCCTTTACATCAGATGATTCTATTAATCAAGAAGAATATACAGCCATTAGTAATTTTGCAATGTTAACAAATTCAGTAGATACAGAGCCATTCACTTTAGAAAAAGAAGAAAAGCCTCTTGCATCTGTATTAACACCAAAAGTATTAGAATTATCGATTGCTACCATACTTTCGGCTGCCAATGAATCATTAAAAACTGCAAAAGATCCTAATACATTTGAAGAAGCAGTTGAGAATTCAGTTGCTGCCGAGTTTCAAGATATCCTACAACAAATTCAAAATCGATTGGAAAAATAATTTTTTGATTAATCAAGAGAATCTTGTTTTTTGAATTTATGCAAATAATTGTGTTTTAATCTTATATTTAAAGATATTTAAAGATATTTCTTGTTTGATTAATTTGATATCAAATTTTTTTTTTCACAACATCAAATTAGAAGTTATATGACTAAACACCAAAAAAATCATAGTATTCACGAAGTAAACAAACTTGAAATTTTATTTATTATACAAAATAATAACGATTACTTATAATCAGCAAGCAAAGGATTAGGTCCATTTCCACTAGCATCATGACTTGCAATTGCTGTAGCAAGTTCACTCATATTGCTTCCGCTTCGAATTTGTAATATTTCTCCATTTGTTTCAGCTTTGAGGCATTCTAGTGAATGTTCAAGTCCATGGAATTTCATGAATTCCGCAATATAAGCAAGTGCATTTGCATCTTCATCTGTTGTTGGTGTGAAACGTTTTATGCGAAGATGAGGAGGTAATTCGCCTTGATTTTCCATTTCGACTAAGCATTTCATAATTTCTGCTTTCATTTCAGAACGCACGTTCATAAGATAGCCGGATTCTTCTAATCTATCAACAGCTTGATCACTTATACCTTTTGTACTCATTTTTAAAACGTGACAGAAAAAAAGAAAACCGACAATTCCTGAAAATCGATTTAAAGTCAATTATATTTGACAATGAATAAGAATAGTTATTAAAAAATAATATAAACAATTGAAATCAACAATTCCATAAATTATTTAATTAAAAAAAGAAATTAATTATTTGCTTTCACTTACGGGCTTTGCAGCCTTCCTCTTTTGCTCTGCATCTGCTACCCAGGAAACGAGATCTGCAAATTCTCTAATTCCCGAGAATTCTTTTGCCCATGGATGCTCAACTAGTTCTTCAATAGAAGCTCTTGCATTTGTGTCTACTTCTAAGCATCTTGAAATAAAATCTCTCATATTCTCTGAACATTCTGGAGGTAATTTAACATCGACCTCATCAGAAGAGTCGAAGTTGACATCCCAAAAGGCTATCTTCATACCACCAAATGGGAATTTACCAATTGCGCATTGATATAAAATAACACCAAGAGACCAAACATCGCTTTTAAGGCCGTAATTATCTTCGCGAATGCGTTCTGGTGACATGTATGACATTGTACCTGTAAACGACTTGGCAAGATCACCAGTTGCGCGAAGTTGGCGTGCAAGTCCAAAATCTGCAATTTTAACAGATCCATCAAGGGCAACCATTACATTGGATGGTTTAAGATCACGATGGAGGATATGGTTTTTACGCATGAAGAGTAAGCCGCTGAGACATTGAATTGCGATTTGACCTAGGGCTTTTTCTGGAACAACTGGGACGACTTTAATATAATCGCCAAGTGATGCACCACGAACTAAATCCATTAAAATATGAATATCTCCTTTCTGATAGAAAACAGTGAAAAGTTGGACAACGTTCGTATGTTTAAGCTTTCTCAAAGAATGAATTTCGTCAATAGTTTTCTGAAGTGTAGTTTTGTCGATAACATGAATATTTTTCATTGCAAATTCGCGGCCTGAAGGAATATGAATTACATCTGAAACGGTTCCTTGGGTGCCTGCTCCTATAAGTTCTTTAACATTCAAGTCATCAAGGCAAATACGTGGATATTCGTCAGTAAAAAGCATTGTTCCATCTGATTTGGTTTTGATATCTCCAAAATCAGTTGATTCTCTCAATGGATCAGCTGTTTTATCGACATTAGAAAAAAATCCTGAATCCGAATCGAGCTTTGGCAATGTGTTGCCTTTCCTTCGATTGTAGATCGACATTATTTTTTTCTATAGTGTAAAAAAATAGAATAAATTTATTAACGTCTATTTGTAAAGTAGTCAAAAGGCTTTTTAGCCATTACATCCTAATTGATCGACCAGTATTGTAACACAACTGTAAATTTTCCTTCACTCGAGTTAAATTACTTGAATCAGGCATTGTTCTCACAAAGATATGCGATTCCACTTTTATCAATAAGATATATCGTATTAAATATGCTCACAGAACCTCTAGTTATAAGAAGTAAATTATCTTTATGTTATCAATGAAAGAGCGGTGATATTGTGGAAAAAATCGTTCGAAATATTTAAATCATTAAATTTAAAATAAGTAATAAAATATAGAACAAGACATGTAACATTATATTATCGCATAGAGCAAAAATTATAGTATCAAATTATATTTCATCTTTTTCATCTTCCGAATTTACATTTTCGTCATCACTTTTGACTTCTCTAAATCGTGTAACAGTATTTTGATCATTAATTTCTTTTTCATGTTCGGACTCTTCTTCCTTATTATCGTTGAGTAATTTTTCTATTGCTTCGTCATCAACAGAATCAGATTCGTTATTATCTTCCTCGTCATTATCTCCTACTGTTGCAAAATTAACACCTTTTAAGAGAGGTGTTGCAACATTTTCTTTTACGAAACTATCTGTTTTTTGACCTTGTCGAATAATAAAATCAATAGATTCTTGTGCGGGAATTACCATCTTTCCATAAGCTTTATATCCTTCTACATTGGGTATTTTTGAGCTGCAGCAACCCATATTTTTGTTGCAATATATTTTCCATGACGATTTTTTTCAACTCAAAATCTGAGCGAAATCATGTTTTTTATCTCACTAACACTTTTAAATGTAAACTTTTTTTAGTTAAAATTTCATCAAATGCAAGAGGGCAAAAAAGTGTCATTGATGACATCCAAACCTGAAGGTTCAGCTTCCACAGATTCATCAGCTCCTAAGAGTGAAACAAAACTCACTCTCGGAACCCTTCATACAAAGAGTTCTGGTACTACAGGAGGATTGAAAGGTTTAGGATCTAAAAAAGATAGTGTTGAAATCTATGCTCCTAAAAATAGTGAAATGGAAGCGTTTCTAAAGCCAACTCCAACGACAGGAAAAGCTCCAGAATCAACCACTTCATATTCATCATCCAATTACAGATATACACCTGTTAAAACAAATGCATCATATATATGCGATATAGACATTTCTGGAGTAAATTGCGATGATCTTTTCACTTACAAATCCAATTAACTTCATAGAATTCAAATTGTTACGAATATCAATACTTATTATGTTTAGTGTACTTAATGCATTGCATAAAATAGAGCTTTCTATATTAAATCATGTTAACTTTTTTTTATTTTGATAATTGATTTTTTAATGTTTATGAGATAAAGATGAGAAAAGAAGCTCCCTTTATCTTCTAATTCTTTTCATATCAAAAATGAGCTAGGTTTAAAAGATACCTGATGAATAGAAATATAATCACGAAAATTATACATAAGTAATATGAATAAGTTTGATTTATATTTAGCTTTTCTAAAAACAATGATTTAATTAAAGATGGAGAGGATAATTTTTTATTATAACTTTCAAACGATATTGTAATAGTACACGAAGAGACTTATCAAGTCTAAACTGTAACAACTTTCTTGTATAATGTTTCAACAATTTCTTCCATGTGCTTTTCTTGATTTTTCTGTAACTTGGAGATTTGCTTTGATGTATCTTTCTTCAAACCCTCTTCCTTCTTTTTATTTTTCTTATCAAGAGAATCTTGGAGTTCTTTTAATGTGTTCCTATTTTGAACTTTGATGGATTCGACTTGTTCCTTTGTTTCATCTGGAATAGCAGCAATCATTTTTGCATGGTTAGCATTTGCTTTGTCGATAATTTCTTGGGCCTTTACTTTATTAGCTTTGAGGCCAGTAATAACTTGATCCATTCTGTTGATCGTCATACCCTATCGTCAGTTTACAAACTCTGTTCGTGTTTTGATCGTCACTTTTCCTGGGGGAATTGAATATCTAAAATCAATTTTTGATATTGCATTTATGAAACTATTTGATAGGAAATAAGGGTTTCGTTTTGCGAAAAAAACGTACAATACGCAATTTCGCTAAAAAACATTTAGCTAGCAATTTCGACCTTTGACTCCACTCAAGACGTCACTTTTTTAATTTTGCGGTATCATATTTTTGGAAAATCTTTATGAATATTATATAAAAAGTCTCTTTAATATCTATATTTCATATTTTTATCGATTTTTAAAGTTTTTGCGAAAAGTATTCAATTATTTTTGCTATTTGGTCGGGTAAATGTCAGATTTGCGACATTTTCTGATATGATATTCAAATTCTACGTTGATAATAATGCTTATAGAACCCTCTTGCTATTGTGTCAAAATTGCGAAACCGATAGCAAAAATATCTCGCAATATCAAAATTGAGATATTGAGTGAATTATGCATTATAGAGATTAAAAATCTGATTTGTGAAAACATCTCATCAGTTTCTAGCTAATTCAAAAATCTTTACTATCTTATTCGATTAAAATGAAAAGGGAATAGTTTCATTATGCTTTAAATGACAGCCTTATAATATAATCATAGTTTTCGCTCAATATGCAGCATTTTTTTTTCGAAATCTATGGTCAATATCCTAAATACTGATTGCTTTGCATTCATATCTCTTACATTTTCTATACCCACATCACTATTCATTGCTATTCCTATCTTTTTCATTTTTGTTTGTTTCTCAAAAGGTAACTAAACTCCTTTCGCCGATCCGATTTGCTCCATATTTAAAATATAGCTTGCATATGTAGAAGAAAAGCTAATTTTGAAGTACGCCCCAAATCCACCAACAGGATTTCGAGCTACTAAAAAGGTACTTTTAAATGTGATTTTTTTTATAAAAAATTAAATTTATTTTAAGATCAGACTAAAAACTAATTTTATGGAAAATCTATATCGACAAATTTATTACTTATTGGGTATATAGATTTTTTGATTATGGCGATTATGTCTGATATGCTTCCAATAAGCCAAAACACATTTCATACTGATTTCTATAAAAGGTATCTTTATTATAGAAGTGTAAGCTATATATGTTTGTTTTTTTATTATAACAAATTCAAAATTCTCTTATAAGGACTAGATGAAATCTGTATTATTAAATCATTAGCTAAATGAAGGTTCAAATAGAAAGTAAATATCAATTTATATGATACTGAAACCAAATAGTTCTTTTAATAAAAGATAACACGCTGAAAATTATTGAGTATTTGCAAATCTCAAAAATCTATTGGTGAATTTGGCTCAACTTTTAAAATTATAACATCCATATCAAATCATAAAAGCAGACAAAAATTAAAGCCAAACCTATCGGCCAATTTTTTTTGATATTTTGATTTTTGAGGTATACTTTTAAAAGTGGATTTAAAGCACTGATGAAAAAATATTAACTTCTGTCGTTATGATTATTGATTTAGACAATAATGATTTTAATCTTTGATTATCAAAACACTAAAGTCATCTTTTTAACATTTGCTTGGTAGCATTAACTCAAGTCTAAAGTACTATTTTATGTGGCACTCTTAGAATTTTTGTATTCATTGTACACGCTGAAATAGTACCATTAAAGTTATGGCGGACTTTCAAAAAATAGTTTGGTCACCTTTTGTTTCTCATAATTTCTCAAAAAACATGATAACTTGATATTTGTAAATATCATACTTTATAACGTAAATAAGAACTTGACCTATTAAGAAAAGCAGTAATGAAAAGAAAATCTGAAATTCATAAAAATTACAAGTTTCTGATGACAATTAGCTTAATTAAACCAGGGACAAGATTATATAATTGTATTTTCTATCCAATTATCCATATAATATCTTATCCAGAAAAAATAACTTGATCAATACCAAATGATTTTTTAACTAGTAAATAAAGTATTTTCTTTACACACACATTGTATATCATAGTTTTTTTTTGGTTTCGCAAAACATCCAAAAACAAATATGCTATAAAAGTGACAATTTTAGCAAAACGAAACCCTTATAGGAAATGAAATATACCGATTTCTCTAATAAATATCGGATATCAAATTTAAATTACTTGCTATGCACTTTTACTATTGTACATGAGTTCAGAAGAAGCATGAAGTGACTGTTATCTATGTAAATTCAGTTGAACAAAAACAAGAATAAAAAAGATAAGATATGTAAATATTATAATGTATTTTCATCTGAATATGATAGTTCATAACTGATAACTATCTGTTTTTAGAGTTAAAACATAATGCTCAACTTATCAATAAGGAAGTATTGAAACATACTCAACATAGGGTTGAGGGATTTAGAACCTTAATCCAGGATCATGAGTAATCATAATATGGTCTCATTTTAAAATACAAAAAATAAATAAAATTAATATTATTGAAATTAAAACATCAATGAGTGAGAAATTAAGAATATCAATTGTCATACATACAACATATGTGAATTTAGAATATCCTACATAGATTAATATAATATTGAATATATTTAGGATATTGGGTTAATACTAGGGTATTTATGGGGCATGTTTCTGTGGCTTGTCTCTGTTGTAACACACTCAAATGTTTATCAAACATAATAAGGATTAATAAGTCAGAGAACTGACAGATAAATTCGAATAAATGTTGGAATTTGGCACTTTTACATGATCAATTATATTTCAACCAAAAATTTTGGAATTTAGACATACCAATATTAGTTCTTTTAAATATTGCAATGTAATAAAAAATTTGTTCAGCTGACGGTTTTTTTGGAAACATTTTCCCTAAATGGATACAATTGAGGAGATTCAAATCAGCCCTCTCTTCGACTTTTCTAGCTTTTTTAACACAGGCTATCTTTCCGACTGCATGATATATTTTGGAGCGAAAGAAGATCACCCCACAGATTCAGTAAAAGCTCATGTACTTGTTCTTGCTAATGGATCAAGATTTTTCTACGACTCATTTACATCACAAATGAGAGAAGATAAAGAAAGAGTATTCTATGCCACAGTTAATCCAATGAATTTGCTCCGCAGAGTTCTTAGATACTTGTACAATGGTCAGATCAGCTATGAATTTGACGAAACAATGGCTCTTCTTAAAATTGCAACATACTACATGATTGATGTTCTTAAAATTGAGTTACAAAATCAAATTAATTCTATCACCGATCCAAACCTTTATATTAATTTAGTCAATCAATGTTATGACAATCAGATAGAGGATCAATTACCATATCTATCTCAATTCATTATTAAGAATTACAATTCATACGACATTCAGACACTTTCTGATTCATATGATGTCATGGCATTTGCTGCAATCATAAGACAAGTTCAGTTACCTATTGATAAACTCATTTCAGATATTACAGCCTTCTTGGGTGACTTCGAAGCAGATGAAGAAGAACTTGCTGCTTTGAATAAATTGCTTTTCGATTATAATACGGAAGATAAAAGAAAGGCATTTGAAAAATCTAAGCCAAAGTGGATTAAATAAATTTTATTTTAAACTTTAATTTGCATTGTATAATGGTAAACGAAATCTTACTTTGATACAAAACTTTCTTTTTTTATAGTCATTGGCCTTAAATAAGTTGTAAAAACATTATATTTTGTAAATATTTTTAAAAAAAATCGTAAATATCTCTGGAATATTGACTAATCCCGATATTTTCGTTTTGTATAATAAAATACTAACAATTTTTATCATTTTCTGGTGCTTCTACTTCTTCTGAAAAAACATGGTATGGTAGTGCAAACAATCTATTATTTCTCTGATGCTCATAGGCAAATAGTTCTTTTTGTGTAAAAATACCGGTAGGAATGACAGCCGGAGTTGATTCATCCGGAGGAAGATCATCAGGCATAATACCTATTCCGTGTTTCGCCGATAGATATGAAAGGGCAATCGGCTGGAGAACCTCGCGATCAGGATAATATTTATCAAAATTCTCCCAATCGCGAATCATTCTTTAAAAATTTTTAAAAATTTATTAAAAAAGTGACACCAATCACCAAACAAATACAATGATTCAGCAAATTCGATAAAGGATTTTAATTAATTGATCTAAATAGGATGCATTTTCCTTTGAATATATTAAAAATACTTCAGGAATTTAAATTTTGATATAAAAATTCAATTAATTATTGTATTTTAATATGATAAAAAGTATTGTCCTATTTTATTTCCACTATTTATCGTTCTAAAATTACCTAAATCCCATAAAATATCCTAAAAAATCTAATCTTAATACCATTTCATATAAAATAATTCCAAAAATTTTTGAGATTCATAATTTCCAATGAAGGATTCTAGATTATTGTTCTTATTTCCTAAGATTTGAAAAAAATTTGGAATTTTAGCAATTTGTCAGAATCATTCATTCTTATAAACAAGCTTGTTTCTCCGAGCAAATTTGCTATTTAAGAATATTTCCATCAAAATTCAAGTTAAATCAAAAGAAAATCAAATATAATATCTAACGCTATCCTTTTTGACAATTCATACCCCCTTGTAATTCATTACTGCATCAAAAACTCTAGAATTTATTAACTTATTTAAAATTTAACCTTTAAATCCAGTTAGTTGCTAAGAGCCAAGAAACCATCGAACATTTCTTACAAATGTTTACTTCTAAGAAAGCTTAAATCCTATATTATTCCAAAATGTAATTTTTATTCTTCCTCACATTCTCTATAAACTCATTGAATGCAATCAATAACACATTTCTTGATAAGCTACAAAATACCTGCAATCTAATTCATAAAAAAATATTAGTTTATTCGCATAATTAAATTAATAACATTTCATTACTTTCTAATTATAAAACAATATCACTTGTTTTTATAATTTTTTCTTCAAACTATTGAGTCTGACATTAATTCTATTGATATAAAACTTTTCAGTCACTGAAATATCCTTCTTTGTCATTGAATTCTTTAAGAATTCTTCAATGCTTGAGTTCGATGCAGCTTGGAGGCCTTTTTGAGTACCTGTGGCTGCTTCAATCAATTCAATAAAGGAAAACAAGTATTCTGAGTTATTAAACTCATCTGCCTTGTTAAATAATCTCTGAAGAGAATCTCCTTCATTGAGATAATCTCTTGCTTCTTGAGTACTATAGATTTTTGTCAATGCTTGAATTATCAGGTTCTTATGTTCCAAGCCGCATTTTTCAAATAGATCAATCACCAATGATACTTTTGGTGCGATTTTCACAACAACATTAGGACATACTATAAGTGATGAAAGCATTAACAAAGGGTATGGCATCAATTTTGAATCTGAAAGAGAATTTATTGCCAAAGTAACAGAAGATAAACCTGACTTTGACATTGGATAAGTTACAACAAAAGCACTGAAGACATGAAAAGCAAGAAATTTATCAATTCTTTGACTTGAGTTGGATAATTGAAAATCTCCAGAAAATCAGCACCTTCGTATGTCAGAGAAATTGTTCCAAACAATCTCAGTGCATAAACTTTGAGTTTACTCTTTTCTGAGAGATTGGCTGAAAGGAAAGTTTTAAGGGCCCTGTTTAACGGTTTTGAGTATTTCTTGCCTGAAAGAGAAGAATAAAAATAGATCATGCAAGATGCAGCAATTGCAGAAACTGCATCACAATCTGTGTTCATCAGCATGGAGATCTCTCTTCCTGAATCAAAGAAATAGCTTTTTGTTTCATCATTTTGCAGGTAGAAATACGTCAACTTCAAAGACATTAAAACAATCTTTGCGTCAGGAACCTTATATAAAGATTTGATGAAATCAATATATTTTGTAGTAATAACCAAACTTAATTTTGTCTTTGTAAATGCAAATGATGAGATCGCAACGAATTCGGCGAGATCATCCATTGACTTAAGTTTTGTCAAAGATTTGGGAAGGAATTCTACAAATTGGAGAAGTTGATCATCGGAAATAGACATTTTACAAACAGATAATAAGATGCAAAACGCCAATTCCAAATCTTTTCTTCCAATTTGTTCAATGATTTCATCATTTGGTAAAATCAATTGTAATAATGCATTTAATCCATTGGCATTCAAGAAATCCTTTTCCAAACTTCCTTTTTCGATTAAAATCTTAATTATTTGAAGCACTTCTGTTAAAATCTCTCCTCCTGGAATCATATTGCTAATTGCTGGATCAATTGCTACAGCAAAATGAAAAATATATGAGGCTTTTTGAATCATTTCAAGAAATATTTTCGCAGCTTGTTTTCTGAGATTCATGTTACTGGCTTGAAGAAAAGCTGCTAATTTATACATGAAAACACCTGATGCTGGAGGTTCGATGCCATTTTCTAGTGCTGAACGAATTAATACCAAAATATCAGTCAATGAAGTGCTTCCCAATTTTTGGAATGAAGAGAAAATTGAATGATAAATCGCAGGTACATTAAAACCTGTAGAAATAAATCTACAGAAAATAGAATAGATCTTTTCAACCATTAAGAGTGAATCAGTTCTGGTGAGTATTTCAGATAACATTAAAGGAATTTCTGAGTTCTTGATTGTTTCACACCATTCATCATGAACGCACATTCTTGCAATTTCTAAAACTGCATTTGCATACTCTTTTCCTTTGAGTAAGATCATGAAACCTGGAATCAATGCTTGATTAGCATTTTGAGATTCAACTAATGCCAAAATACTTGCTTCATTTTGTGGATCGTAAGATTGCCTTCTCTTTACTGGAGATTGAATCAGACTGATTGACTGAGATCGTTGACCTCTAACCAATGAATGCTGTGCATTTGATATCGAATCTTGTCTAGGTGAAATCTTTGGAAGATTTGAAACACTTCCTGTTTTCGAGATTTGAGATTCTTTAAATTTTTGAATTTCAGCTACGATAGGATCTTCCGAAAATCGACCGAGATAAGACAAGACATCAGACATGTTCGTTCCTGGGAAAACAACTCCTCCTGATGCAATTGCTTTTGCAATTGAATCCATTGTTGGCCTTCTTTGCGGATCAGCGTCCCAACAAAACTTGATCATCTTTGCAATTTTTGGAGGAGCACTTGATGGAAGTAATGGTCTTGTTCCATTTTTTACAACGTTTGCAGCAACTTGAACTTGTGACATTCCTCTGTATGGAATATCGCATGTCAAAATTTCCCATAATAAAATTCCTTAGGAATATACATCTGCTTTTTCTGTATATGGTTCATTATTGATAACTTCTGGTGCTTCCCATTGCGCTGTTCCAACTCCTCCAGTCATCAAATCTCTCGACTGTGGAACAAACCTTGAAATGCCAAAGTCACAGATTTTTGGATATTCATCAGCATCAAGTAATATGTTTAATGATTTGATATCTCTGTAAATATAGTTATTTCTGTGCATGTATGATAATCCAATGGCAACTCCCAATGCAATGATTGTTCTTTGAGTTGGTGTCGGAGGAATGTTTGAATGAAGACATTTGAAAAGATTTTCTTTTGGCATGAATTCTGAAACAATATAATAAGGAGGTTCTTGAGTTACTCCAATTAATCCGATAACTGCAAAGTGATTCATTTTGGCCTGAATTTCAATCTCACGCTTGAACGCTTTAAAGGATGATTCTGTAAATTCATAACTGTGAAGAATTTTTACGGCAACTATTTTTTGCGTACTTTGCTGAATTCCTTCATATATATCGGCAAATCCACCTGCTCCAATCTTTTTCTTGACGGAAATGTCCGGTTTTGAGAGGAAAAATCTTTCAGATAAATCTAATCATTTCATTAAGTCGCTTTCAACAACATTGTTTTGTGGAATGTTGTTTTATGTCATCATTGTAGTAAAGTCTGTGAGATGATTTTTGTATTGAACAATCTTTTCATTAATTTGTGATAAACTTTTTGTCGAAAGAATGTTTTGGTTAATCAATTCTGTCAAATGTTCAATAATATCATGTATATCACCTTGATCATCGTATGAATCTTGATTCAAGTCATTTGTCATTATATTTTGAGGAAGAAATTGAAAATTAGTACAATGATCATTAAATTCTATTTTGAAACTCATTATATAATTTTTAACATATTGGATATCCATTTTTTCAATGAACGGTATAAAATTGTCATTGGTCAAACCAGAAAATAAGTCCTTTAGGTTATTAAGTAAAATTACAAGTTCTTGGAGTTTTTTAACTTGCTTTGGAGATGGCTTATCGCATGGATATTCGATTTGTCTGATAATTTTTCTAAATTTGCTCAATTGTTGGCAAAGGTTTGCTAATTTAGCACGATGAAGGATGACTAACTTGTAAATCTGGAATATACCAAAAATCTCCGAATTGATGTTTTGAAACCATTCAGAATAAGAAAAATCAGAGGGTGTAGGCATTTATGAATTTGACAAATTTTATCTGAATTTTATGTATGAATAATTTGTGGGATGAAAAAAAAAAAAAAAAAAAAAAAAGGGTAGTGGGGCTTCCAGGCACTTCGTGCCTTCTAGCCCTGATGATGTTTAGTAATAAATGAAGTTTTTTATTCGGAAAATTGTTAGTCTTCTGGGTCGAAAACATTATATATAATGTGTCACTTTTCACAAATTATATATGTTTTCATGTTTTGTCAAACATGAACGTACATGTTTTGTCAAGACTTCTTCTTCGTAAATGAAAAAAAAAAAAAAAAAAAAAAAAAAAAGGAAGTGGGGCTTCCAGGCACTTCGTGCCTTCTAGCCCTGAAGATGTTTAGTATAAATGAAGTTCTTATATACGGGTCTTCCAGGAGCTTTTCACAAATTATATATGTTTTCATGTTTTGTCAAGACTTCTTCGTAAAATCAGACAAAAATAATGTTTAGGGTAGAAGGTTAGATATAACCTCTTTTCTAACCTCTTTTCTACCCTCTTGAATTTTCAAGACTTCTTCGTACATGTTTTGTCACTTTTCTGTCACTTTTCAGGGAAAAAACATTTTTATTATATATATAAAATGAATTTTACAAAACCACCGTTACCCTTCTTTGGAAATAAGAGTAGATGTAAAGATATTCTATTGAGAGAACTTAAGAAACTACCGAATGGTCTAACATTTGTAGACTTGTTCGGTGGAAGTTTCTATATATCTCATTTGTGCCATACAATATTTCCTGACTCAAAGATTATATGCAATGACTTCGACAACTATATGAACCGTCTCAAACATATACCAGACACAAACAAAATATTGAAAGAGTTAAAAGAAAAGATACCTATAGGTAAGATGGAACGTATACCATTAGATAAGAAAAATACTGTCAGAGAGGTTTTGAAAAAGGCAGAGTATATTGACTGGGATAGTATATCTGCTAGACTATTATATAGTGGTGCTATAAGAGTTCATGACATTGAAACACTTATGTCAAAAGTTTTATATCTTAACTATACAAATGTTTTCAAAGAGAACATAGAAAAATATATTGAGGGTATAGAGTTTGTGAGATGTCATTGGACAGAGTTGTATGAAAAATATAAAGACAAGGAAAATGTTTTCTTTATAGTGGACCCGCCGTTCTATAACACATGGGATTTTCAATACCAAGTAGACTGGACTTTGAGAGACTCTTTAGAAACTTTAGACGTTTTACATAACCATCCATGCTTTTACTTTACATCCGATAAAAGTGGTTTGGAAACCGTTATGAGATGGTTAGAGGACATACATGACTATGAGTTTAGATACGATAAGATAGAATATGAGAGAGGTCCTATAAACTGGAGAAAGTGTCATAACAAAGAAATTTTATTGGTAAGTAAATGTGGTTTGAAATAGGACTACTTGTTTTAGGTTTTTTCCATTGTGTCATTTACTTATTTGACGTGGCAGAAAGATATAGAGAATATGAAGATGAACCAATGTCTGCAAATGTTCAGCATATGTACTCGAAGAGATATTTTTATCTAATATTAAAATGGACGCACAGAACTTAGCGAATGCACAGCAACCTGGACAACCAAACCCAGAAGAATATTCCAAATGAAGTTAGAATACAAACTGCAATGGCAAACTATGGTCAAGTGCCAACAGATGACAAATGCAAACTGCCATGAAATGACGCTGCGTTAGGTTTGCCACCATGGTATGCAAATATGAGATGGAAAGAGTTTTATACAAACCCTGAAGTGGGATATAACAACTTTATGCAGATGACGCGAACACAGGAGTTGACCCAGAATATGTTTTCTTACCAGAGGAGAAACAGAATGTATGAGCTCCAGTTAAATAATGCTATGGAACTCAACAGGAACGTAAGAGACTAGGTGGACATTAGATTTTTACATATAGTAAAATGGGTTTCTTTGGAAGAATAGGAAACTTCTTTCGAAATGTTGGAAGAGGTATATGGAATGGAATAAAATCTGTCGGAAGAGGAATTTGGAACGGAGTCAAAAATATTGGTAAAAGAGTAGGTCAGTTTGTTGGTATTATACCTAAAGACCCTGAACCAGAAGAACAAGCTCCTGTTATACAACAGCCTGAACCTGCACCACAGTCAAGTTGGCAACCAAATCCAACACCTCAACCGTATTAAAATTATATTTTTACCGTTCGATAGTAGTTGTATATGAAACTAAGTTCTAAGTAAAACGCATGGTATAATGGAAATTATTCTTTTTCTTCCATCTGTAGTAAACCATACTTGAAAGTCTGAAATACTTCCACTTGGTGGTTCGTATAACTTTGTAGGTTTTTCGTAAAAGTCATTTGCCAAGCATAAGAAAGATTTTGGGCGCCAGAAAATGAAAGCATGAACAATAATAGCAGCTGGGTCGAAAACATCTTTAAATAAATATGGTTCATCTCTTGCATATCGACTGTAAATATTTGCTAAAGGAAGTTCGACTTCTGAATTTAACATTCTTTGCAAATAATACCATGACATTGCAGTGAATTCTGTATATATTTGTTCGTCTTTCTTTGGATTGTCTTCGTAGATTTGAAATGACACTTGTGAATTTTGTTTGTCATATACAATTCTCACATAAAAGTGTGCTCTCGGTATTTGCATATTCATCAGCATATTTTGCATAACATGAATTTATTTTATCTTCTATATTTTTTAACGCAGTCTGTAGAGAAGATGAAAGGTCAACTTGTATTAGCTCAATTTCTTCCCACATTTTTCGTTTCCCTTCAGATATATAATCTATATGAAACCTTACAATAAATGGAAAAAACTTTTATCTTCTACAGACACAAACTTCATTCTACGAAAGCCAATAGCTTTTGTGACAGATGGGTCTCTTAACCATCTTAATGGGTAGTCAAAACGATAGCCTTCATGCTTTACGGTCTCTGTCTCAAACTTTTGACCGACATTAGTAAAAAGTTCATCTAATGGTTTAGTTGTAGCAACTCTTGAATTTTCTTTTTCTATTGGAAGCATATTTTATCTAGAATTAAAAATGTCAAATGAAACAGCGTCTATGAGAGAAATACAACACAACCGACAACTCATTATACAAGCTCTAAATAAGAACACAACAAACTTTTCAAACTATTCTAAGATATCTGAGTCATTGAAAGAAGGAAACTTAAAACTGACATTAAACCCAATGACAGATGAGTTTCTGTTTCAAGACAATAAGAACCATACTGTCTGTATAAATCCAACAAAAGGAACTTTAAACGAGAAACCTATATCTGAACTTCTTTTGAAAGCAGATATTGACAACAAAGCTGACAAAGAATATGTAGACGATGCAATAGCAAAAGAAGAAGAAAGAGCTAACAAAGCTTATGCAACGAAAGAACATACTCATCCTGAACTAGCGGACAAAACATATGTTGACAATAAAATGTCAAGTGAAGTGACAAGAGCTGACAAAGAATATTCTAAAAAGACTCATACACATACCATTGCAAATATTACAAACTTACAAGAAACCTTAAACAGGAAAAGTGACGTTGGACATACACATACCATTGCAAATATTGCAAACTTACAAGAAACATTAGAGACAAAAGCAGATAAAAATATGTCAATGAAATATACCAAAGTTTAGTTGGAACAACAAAAAATATTGAAACTATTGTTGGTGACTTTTCTATCTATGAAGAAAACAAATATTTTAGATGGGAGTTTGTACAGTCCTTAAGAATTATACGGTGTAAACTCATTCCGAAAAATAACAATGAAATGTATGTAAGCTATATAAAGAACGATGGTACACAAGTTAAAGTTTCCATTAGACAACAACTGCTACTTAAACTTCTATGGAGACGAACAAAAGAAATATTTAAGAGTTTATGAAATGGCAGATATGACATTGCCTGACCCAGCTCCAGCACCATACTATTATGACTATGGTGTTGACGTCAGAATACTACACGCAGACCCAAAAAAGCAAACATTCTATTTAGATTTTTATAGATATAAAAGATATAATGCAATAGAAAAACGAGAATAGTATACTATTATACAGATGACAGAAATAAATATTATAGTCAAGACTTTACCTACCCTGAAAACATAAGATTATATTATAAAAAATATTCTGACACAAACCAGAAGAAACCTGAAATAGTTGCACTATATTTTAAGTTCAAAAGAGACAAATCCTATAATATCTCATATGTTTGATTTAATGAACCCAGTAGGTTCTATTTACACGTCAATGGAAGCAAGAGGTCCTCAAGCAATGTTTGGTGTTGGTGCATGGGAACAAATAGTCGACAGGTTTTTGTATTGTGCAAACTCTTCAAAGGAAACAGGTGGAAGTAAAACGATTTCAGGTGAAAACCTACCTGCACACAGTCACTACATAGATTTAAGTACATCTCAAGCAGGTTGGCATAAGCATAGATATTGGGATTGGTCAGGAATGACAAAAGGTAAAGGATATGAATTTAAAGACGACGTTAAGTTTGCTATAAATTTGTTACTGGATGACACGCAGGGAGATGGAAACCATACACATCGCGTTTCAGGGTATACGCAAACAACGGGACAGAGTAAAGACTACATGCCACCTTACATGACAGTTTACGCATGGTATAGAATTGCTTAGTCGTCATTTTCAACTTCTTTAGCATATTCGTCAGGAGTTGTCTTATATTTGTTAGGAACTGTCTTTGAAAGTATACCACCTTGAACTTTGACAAGTTTGAAACGAGGTCTGACAATAGTAGTTTTATCTTCTGCTTGCAGTGTGTACATTTTGCCATGTTTGCCTAAAACTTCATAATATTCTCTTGTATACTTTCTTCTATTTTTACGAACACGAATGCGAGTACCTGTCGAGTTCCCATTGTTGTCATAGTCAATAGTATTTTCATATGGGTCGCGTTTAGGTATTTCTATTTTTACTTTGTCACCTTTCTGAAGTTTGAAGCCCGGCATTCTTTCTTGTTTGTCTCTTTTGACTAAATTGTTAAATATATAGTCTTTCTCTAAGTCAGGGTTGTTTTTCATTTCTTCGGGGAGTGGTTTCCCAAACCTTTTTGTTTACGGTTATTGTAAATATTTAAAACTTGTCTCATCTTTGCCTGGAGAAGTGTCTATACTTGTCGTCATATGACATTTCATTTGCTTCACCACCTTGTGGTTGGTTTAAGTCTCTTAAGATTTTTATACAACTGTCAATGACACCAAGAGCAGAATGGTTTTGGTCGACAATGAAATATTGGTTTACATTTTTTGAACGCAGATAGTTTTTAATATCGTCTGATTTGAAAGAACTTTCACAGTCAGATGTCAGTTTTGTTGGATGGTATTTGTCAACGAATATTGTCAAAGCAGTTTTCACATCTAAAATATTTTTGGACCATAATGGTATGGCTTCACAGTATCTTGTGTTTTGACCGACAAATATTAGCCAGTATGGTGGTCCATCTTCTCTATACCTCGGAATGTTTTCCAAGATATCCATAAACCAAGCATTTGGTGTTGAACTAAAGATTTTTACCATGAGTGCTTTCTTTGTCGCTTTAGAAACATAGGGGTCCTTGTTTGGATTCGTCATTTTTTAACCCATAAGAAATGGGTTTATTTGGCGCATTAGCAGGAGTTGCATCCAGATTTTTGCCCGCAGTGGGAACAATAGCCAGAGGTGTATTTGGAGTTGGAAGGAAGATTTTGAGTACATTAGGTATACTGAAAGAGAAAGCACAACCTATTATACAAACCGTACAGAAAGGTTGGGAGGTAGCACGAGATGCAGCAAATCTTATTCCAAATCCTGAAACAAGAGGAAAAGTTCAAGGATGGATGGACAATGTAGGAAGACAAGCAGGAAACTATTATAACAAAGCAAATGACTACTATAACCAAGCAGGACACTATATGGACCAAGGTGAAAGATTCTTTAACAGAGGATATAACCATGCACAACAATGGGTAAACAATAACCAACCTCAACCGCCTCAAACGTGGGGAATGTAAAGTTTTTTACTGAGATGAAATGAACAATACAGCATTGAGACAAATGGGTTCAAGATGGATTTGTCGACTTCCAGCAGTTACACAACCACGTGTTTGTCAAGTTCTTCCTATACCTCAGGAAGTTTTAGACCGACTTAAAAAACAACAACAACCAGTTGAAAACAAACCAAACTAAAATTTTTTACTGAGATGAAATGACCGAAGAAGTTGAAACGGTAGATTTGACACCACAAACAAAAAGTTCAGAACCATTGTCAAAACCTGTCAAAGAACTTACAGATGAAGAGAAAAATTCAATAATAGAAAGTGCCAGGTCTGGAAATACAAACCCTAACTATAAAGTCACTTTTCATAGAAATGGAACGGCTAGTATCTCAAAAAAGAAACAGACTCTCACAAATAAAATATTGAAGTCTGAAGGAGCTTTCGAGACAACAGATGGAAAAGTTTACTTCACTGACCAACAGTTCATTATAGAACATCTCATTGACTTAGAGTCGAAATATTCTAAACTTTACAACAAACACAAAAAGTTGAAAGGAAAACAAAAACAAATGGCATATGATATTTACGAAGATGTTGACGACACAACCATACCTGCAAGTGAAGTAAAGTCAGGTGAACCGAAAAGTGACGAAAGACCGATAGAAGAAGGGGAGCCAAAAACTGAAGATAAACCAAAACCAAAGTTTAGTTTCCAAACTAAACCAAGTCAACCTTCATTAGCTGGTATGGGTTGGCGTCAAAGACTTATGGCAGCAGGCGGTTATGTTAAGTAAAGAAAAAAATATTTTTTTATTTTTATAAAAATGTCCCCATATAGAATGGATAGAAAATCTGCTAGAATAAAAGCAGAGTTACAAAGATATGGTTGGAGAGTTTCGAAGAATTTTAAATATAGGAAGGGAAGACCCATAAAAGTCTATGACAAACTGGCTGGTCTGACCTATGAAATGGACTTGGAAACAGCACGCACAAATTATCCAAACAGGTTAGAGAGGTTAGAAGAAGAACGTCTTATGAACATGCCTTTCGATGTTAGTGAACCTCAAGTTGAAGGACACGACGGCTTTGCCAGATTCTACTGGAAACATGACGAACAATTGCATCCTTTGAGAAGGAAAAAAGGAAAAGGTGAAGATGCACATGCTCCCATGGAAAGAACAAGATATGCATATGAAAAGTACCGTGAAGTTAGAAGTCAAATTACATCTGTCGAACCTTTACAGTAAACTTTGACGAAGGAAAGAACAAAGAAGGCTTCATGGGAGTACTTGCTGCCATACAAGACGGAAATAAGAAAGGATACAATCTCAGACTAACCGTAACAGATTTAGATGGTCACATTTACTATGCGCATGGCAATGAACAAACAGCCGCACAACTTCTTGACGCTTTCAAGACTACAAAGAGAGAACAAATGGTTGACTCCGACTCAGACATTTTGAATGCGATTGAAGGGATTGCAAGCGTGAAGTTCGAATGGTACCAACCCAACCCTCAAGCAGTCAGACAACATGCTGGGTATTTCCCGTTCATAAACAAGTCTGACATTAACTTAACCAGGTATGGAATTTACAATTCAATTGAAACAATTGTCAATGAACCTTGTATTCTTACATGTCTCAGGAACTCTGGTCTTGTTTCAGAAGAGAAAATGAAGTATCTTGAGTCATGTGTGAAGACAAGGTACATGCTCAGAGGTCAATTGGCTAAAATTGCACCGTTGGCAAATGTGAATATCCGAGTCAACATTCCGACTGAGAAAGGTTCTTCACATGACGACTATGTTGTTGACTTCAAATTGCCATGGTTGAAGATTGTAATTGTCCACAACCACTTCATGTTGAACGAAAGTCTTATGTTCGGAAAAGGCAAGTGCAACATTGTCAGAGCTGTTAACATTCTTTTCGAGAAAGGTTTGTTGGAACCAATTCCAGATGACAAGCTGACAGAAAGTTTTGTACCAAAAGACGAAACAAACTTTTCACTGTTAGCAAGACCAAAAGTTGTTCCAGACAAAGTTCTAGTACAAAAGAAGTACACAGTTCCAAAAGGAGTTGGATTGTTCGGATACCAACCTGAACCAGAAGAACTTCCAATGAGGTTGCAAGAACTTCAAGATGCTATAAACAAACTCCCATTGAGACATCCAATTGACGTCAAATTGTATTGGAGAGCATCTGAGTTAGGTCAGAAGGTTTTATATGAAACAGGTTGCTTCGACGATGTTTATGAGATAACAGGAGAAGTTTCTCAGAAGATAAGAGACTCACTTGAATTTCCAAAAACTGGTCCGATTGGATGCGATAAGTTCGACTCAGATGAAAAAATATACTATGTCGACCTTAACGCCGCATACATGAGGTTCGTCCAATATATCCCGACTGGAATTCCAAACGAAGATGGTGAGTTCCCAGGAAGGAACTATACAGTTGGAAAAGTCATACAACAACTGTATGATATTAGGAAAGCTTCAAACCCCAAACTTGCAATGACATTAAAATTGCTTATGAATTCGACATGGGGGTATTCCATTAAAAAACCTCAAGAGATGAAGAGTAAACATTATGAGAAGGTCGACAACTTTGTTGAAAGGTTTTCTCCTTTTGTTTTGAAATACGAATTTACCGAAGGTGAAAGTGGCTTAGTAACCACATTAAAACCTATTGTCGAACATTGGTCTTACCCTCAGTTCGCAAAAGCAGTCCTTGACGAGTACAACAAATTCTTCTCCGAAGTCAAATCCAAAGTCAAGGTTTACTATGAGAACATCGACGCACTCATGACGAACGAAGAAGGCTATAACAAACTCATTGAAATGGGAATGGTCGGTGAAAAGATGGGCTGTTTTAAGCTAGATAAGGTATTTTCCGAAGTTCATGTAATATCGAAAAGGAAATATTGGGGCATACTTGAAGACGGCACAGAAATAAAACATTGCATGAAGTAAAAAATTTATTTTTTAAAACCATATATTTTTACATATATTAAATGTTTCAGGTTGAAAAACAAAGAACAAAAGTAGCAGATACAAAACCGTTAGACTATATCTTTACAAACGCCGGTAGGACTATATCAGATGAAGAAATTTCATCCCGTACTTACAGGTTTGACTATCCAATTCGTTGGCTTCAAAGTCCTTCAGATGCAAAGGCAATAGGATTTAGAAGAGTTTTGTTTTCAAATAGAACTAACGCTTTTATGTTTGCAGTATATTTTCATGGTCAGTATAGAGGTCCTAATGGTCTAATAGACAAATTTGATGAAATGAGAATCTTTACAATTCGTTCAGACGAAAGTCTTGAAAAAACTCTAAATGACTTTCAAACTCAAATAAACAAATACTACTGGGAATTTCAAGAAAAATACGATTCTTTACTAAATGGAACATACTATCTGAAACTAGAATATGACAAGATGAACTCCACAGTTTCATTTCAAAGGATTGAAAATAACCCTCCAAGAGATACACAGTTTTTATTTTGGGAAGTAGACAAACGTTCTTGGGCACAATTTCTTCGGTTACTAAACCAGAACGAACCATTACCACCTGACGGTCCGTTTAAATTTATACGCCCACCAACAGATTTGACAGTTTATAGAAACGTGTTCGACCCTCAAAATGTCATGTGTCATGCAAGTTTCAGTTCAAGCAACAACAGTTTTCTTTGTATTGGTAAGGACTTTTATGACTTTGCTTCTAAATTCTACGAACCACCTAGTAACAGTTTCTCTGACTTTCAAGTTTGGTTCACAACAAATGGTGTGCAACATATTATTCCATTGTACTATGACTTTTATCTCGAATTGTCTTTCATATATAACTACGGAAAAGTGCTGAAAAAGTATTGAATGTGAAGATATTAGAAAATAACATTTTTTCTAACATCGTAGAAAACTCATGAAAACAATTTATTTTTAAAACAATATATTTTTTTTATTTTATTTGAAATGTACGCTGAGTTTGTTGGAGAAGACCGTTGGGAAACTTGTTTGTTAGATGAGAAATATGAAATTCACTGTTGTGAGTCATTTGAAGTCAGAAACAAAAAGACAAAAAGAGTTTTAAGCGAATGGGAGGGAAATAACGGATATGCTAGGATGAGGATTGGTGGAAAACACTATTTTAAACATGTTGTCATTGCAACTCATTTTATACCGAATCCTAACAATTTACCTTTTGTAGACCATATAAACCATATAAGAAACGACAATAGACTTGAAAACTTACGTTGGGTCACTTATTCTGAAAACAATAAGAACAAGGGTAGATTTAGAGATATTGTATTCGAATTTGTCGACGAACTAGAAGATGAAACAATTGAAATTACAGACTATGGCAAGCATACGTTTGAGTTTTACTACTATAGCGAAGAACAAGACTCTTTCTACTTTTATACCGGCGTAAACTATAGGAAATTACAAGTATATTTTACTAAGGCGGGCTATGCTTATGTAAACACTAGAGATACAGATGGAAAATACGTTCGAATACTTCACTAACCAGATCTTAACTCTCAAACATTATACCTTACTAAAACCAAGATCTTTAACTCTCATTTGATACCTTAACTACAGATCTTAACTACTCATTATCCTTACTCATCTCTTAAACTCTCATACTATATCAGATCTTAACTCTTCATTACTACCTTTACTAACCAGATCTTAACTGTCATGTCATTACTACCCCTCTACCTTATCTACAACTAAGATCTTACTTCATTACTACCTTACTAACCAGATCTTAAGCCTCCATTACTACCTTACTGACCGAGAGTCTATACAACTCTCATTACTCACTTACTAACCAGATCTTAACTCTCTTACTACCTTACTTAACCAGATCTTAATCTACATTCTCCACTACCAGATTACACTCATTACCACTACTACCAATCTAGATTCATACCTCGACACTTCAATTACCACTTACCACCATGATTTCTCACATTCACTCAGTCTCATTACTACCCTATTCTTTTTAACCTTTTCTGATAATTACTGAAATAACACACAATCCTTTTTTTAGTCTTCAACCTTCTGATTATTTAACACCTTTCTTAAATCTCTTTAATTTTTTGAACTACGCCCCTTTAACTCTTCGCTAATCTGCCGATTTCACAAGACTTTGAACCATTACACTAACAACACCCTTACTTAACTTAATATCAACTCAAACACATGGTAGCTCTCTGATTTCAGATCTAACATGTTTCAAACACCCTCTTTATTCTATCATCTGAGTTATACTTTTCTATTATACTCAATACACTGACGTTCAACTAAACTGAACACTCTTAATCTAGACGTCAACAACCTATTCAACTTAATCATAAATGATTTGATTGAAATTTCCAAATTTTGGATTTATCATTCTTCACTCACTTAAACTCTCAACAGAGCTTAACAATATAAGCTAAATAAGTATATTTCATAGCTAAACTAAAATTAATTAATTGAAACCTTTTTCTCAGCTTTTTTCCTTTCAAACTAGAAAAAAAAGGAAGCGGAAAAAGGAACAAAGACACGATAACAGAGAAAAATGAAAAAAAATGAAGAAGAAAGAAGAAGAATAAAATCAATAGCATATTATATAATTGTGGCTCTAGGCCACGACGCTTAGCGTGGACAACGGCATCGCTCGCCCTCTCCGGGCTCCACCCTTTCCAGGCCACGAGGCCGATTTTCGCCCACTTCTTCTCTGAATTTCTTTGCCGCCGTCGCCAAGCTCCTGCGCAGAGCGGCCGCCGCAAAAATTGTGCCAGTTTTGCTACAACCCTATACCTACTTCATACTAGAAAAAACTGCAAATAAGTCATTCCTATATATACCTACCCTCCTTACCATACCTCGCACCCATAGTTTAGACATCCTGCTAACTGCTCCGAACTAATGCATTAGCAATTACATCGAAGAGAAATAACACCAAGAGTTTTGTAATGCCCCACATCCCAGTTGTTGATATTCGATATATAATAGATTGCATGTACTTTGTATGAAATATAACATATCTAATTATTGAGTTCTAAAATGAAAGGCAACATATCTTATGCACAGCAAAATTTTCCCCACGATCATTTTTTTTTGAATATGATCTTTCTTATTTATTATTGAGAATTGAAAAAAATAGTTTTTTCTCGACACTATTTCAATTCAGGCAAACAGCATCGAAATGTACAAGCCTCTCATTTAGTAAATAATTCTATTCTGTATATTTTGCATGTAGATTTCATTGCAATTTCTCTACTTCTATAGGTGACATGATTGCAAAGTCTCAACTACAAACAGCTCAAACTTTATTGATATATCTTCTGTAATATCGTCGAATTCGATTGTAATCAACTCTTAAGTGTAAATCGCACTGATCCGATAAGTTGAGATAAAGAGTTTCAATATGTAAATAGAAGTTTGTTGAACAAAAAGAAGAAACTTTGACGAAAAAAAACTATTGTTATTCCGATGATTATTTTGTAATTATTGTTAAAGGGTGCACGACGAGAGGATCATTGTAAATCAGAATTTAAAACCTTATTTTTAGGATTATCTTGGTACCTATTTAGGCTCGAAGCCAAATATCAAAAAATACAACAGTTGACTCCATTATGGCACCCTTCTTCACTGGAGGTCATTTTCTCATCCCTACGTATTTTTTCCCCTTTGATATCTCTTTTACAATTCGAAATCAAACCGTCAAAATGCAGTAGAAGAAAGGAGAATCGACTTAACTCGGTTGTAATACCGAAACAAATACATGATCATTTATTAATTTTTATCTTAGCATACATCAATTGTTTGAAAGCCTCATAACTTTCCATCAAATTTCTTCAAATACAAAACATTACAACATGTTGAATACTGTTCCATCATTCATTTTACCATACGCGTTTTTGGCAACCTTTATTGAGGATTGTTCTCGGCACTGCCTACCCTTCGGTCAACGACGGATAGGATATCGAGCGGCACAACATTAATCTCGAGGAATACGACATTATGTAACGTAACAAATGCTCCTGTGCGGATTTTTAACATCATTGTATGACTCAACCTTTTATCTAATACAACATTTTTCGCTCGCAGCATTTTAAGAAGCACATATAATTTTTTGACATCTCTAAATTAAAGGTAGCTGTTGAATAGACTCTCCCATTGAATCTCAATTTAATACGGGATATTTCTCTCAAATTAATCAAAAATCAGTGTTTCAAGAAACTTTGGATTATTCTTTTCCAAGAATGACTGTCATATTTTGAAAAATTACAGTAATTATATCAAGATTTAAAAAAGGTAATTTATCAAATTCTTAAATTCTTAATAAAAATAAATACCTTTTTTCCAGAGGATTTGGTGATTTTAAAAGCATGAGTATAAGTAAAAAATATCTACGATTTTAATGAAGGGAAATTGTTCTTATAGAGGTATATTATAATATATGCCTCATAAAAGGAACTAATTCCTCTTGATAGCTGGGAAACTTTCTACTGAAATACAACTTATCATTTGAGAAAGTTTCCACTTATCCTATTAGAACTAAAGGCTGTGAGGCACTAATATAATAATCAGTGGCTCATAGCCTTTAGTTTCTTATTAAAAACGAGAAAAACCTTGTTCGAAAATGACTAAACAATTTCGA